ATTTTGTACTAACTAATTGGTCCAGACACTATGTGGCCTGCTAATAGGCCACAAGTCAGCAAGCATCAATGTAAACTTCCATTTTTTTGTAGCACAAATAATAAAAACCCAGAGACAGATATTGGGGTTCAAGCTGAAGATCAGGAAAGCAAAGCAGCCAAGACACTAGAAAGACCTTGCCTCTATCAAGACTAAGACAAGCAAAGGGACCCTCCTGAAATGCTCTCCACAAACCTCACACTCCATACTCCAGTCAGTTCCTGTCTCTTCTCCTTTATATTCCTCTTTCCTCACAGCCATATCATTCCTGTCTCCACCTCTCAAGTGCTGGGATTAAAGGCATGTCACTCTCTGGTACTGGGATTGAAGGTGTGAGCCACTACCACATGGATTCTGAATTGATCTTGAGTAGCCCATGGTGGCCTTGAACTCACAAAGATCTGTCTGCCTCTGTCTCCCAAATCCTGGGATTAAAGGTGTGGCTTCCCTTACCCACAGATCTTCAGGCAAGCTTCATTTGTTAAAACACATATACTATACAACTATGCTTATAGCTTCTCACTTATAGCTGTCCTTGTACCAGCTCCACGTCACTGTGAAAGGCTTCACTATCTTTCTCTGACACAATTAAACACAACCAATTGTGCCAACATCCAGAAAGTTCTACCACATTAAGTATGTCACATTGTTTAATGCTTTGATAGAAATTTGCTTTCTGTTTTAATGACACAAACTCTGCAAGGACATCATTCACACAGCTCCACTCGTCTCTCTACTCAGGAATTATAAACAGTTATTACAAAGAGTCCCTCTGACTGCCTGAAGAGAAGGTGGTGATGCAGCCGTGTTTTTAACTTTATCCAGAATTTTCCTGAATATTTTTAAGGACCTACATCAAGGACCACAGATATCACCCAGCTTCCATATACCATGAACACCACCCAGGTTCTGTCTTCCAGGCAGTTTTCCAATAAGGAAGAATCTACCATCATAGCATTAGTCATTGTCATCATCATCTTACTTATTCCTTGCATTTACAAGAATATGAAGAGAAAATGTCATTCCCAAGAAGGTAAGAAACAGACTGGGGTCTCACTCTGGTTCTTGGTAGGGTTGGTCAGCTGAGGACATGGAACAGGTGTCCCACTGGGTATCAGGGATGTGAATTCTGGTCTTCATGATTCTATAGAAAGGGCCTTACCCACTTAGCCATCCTCCCAGCCCCCAAAACTGAGCTTTTGACTGTCTGGTTACCAAGTCAATATACTGTCTTCTGCTTAGCCAAGGAGAACTGAGTGTAACAAGCTTCTGAACACATCACTTGCATGCAGTCCTGTCATGGCCCTTAGAGGGACCCTTACCATATACTCATCACAAACACAACTGCAAAGGTGTTTTCACACAGTCAACTAGGACTGCCCGTCCACTCATTCTGCCTCGCTTCCCTCTGTACCACTTGCAACTGAGAGGCTGCTGACCCCAGAAATGGGTCTGTCTGAGAAAGGCTGGTGTGGTCTGCATTCAAATCCCCTTCGTTTGTCAGGGGTCATGGGATGTTGAAGTACAAGGTAAGCAATGCCTGTCATACTTCTCTCCTAAGGTAAAGGGTTAAGTACTTTCAGCCTCTCAGTCTGGAGCTTTGAATCTCACTGCAAAACCCTTCCAGACAGAAACCTTCAGCTGCCCATGAGCTGTCCCATCAACTGACACAAGCCACAGAATCAAGAGAGGACAATGAAGCCAAATGGAGATTTCCCCAACTATCCACCAAAATGTTTTTCCAGGAAGATGAGCCCATGACGTGAGAATAAAAGAATTTACTAAACCACACATCTACATCACAACACCCAAGAGTCAGGATCTCATTAAAAAGGGAGAAAAAAGGATGTAAGAGAATCCTGTGTTCCAGCCATGACATGGCTGCTGCACTGCTGAACTCTCAGCAGCTCTGAGCACTTGCATGATCCCTGCACAAGAGCAGGCCTGTCAGCCTTCCCTTCATGGAGAAAAGGGGGCTCATGAGGCCCCAGGGACCCCTGAAAATCTATCTGCAGTTAATGATGCTGGAGTACGATTGACATTTTATCAGTGGTGTGGCCACTCTTCAAGAATCCATATTCTTATAAGTAGCTCCTCACCGAGCTTCTACAAATGATCCTAAATGGGATCATTAGATAAAATAACTTGTACGTAAGCCTCACATGAAGGTAGGGGAGGAGTAATTGGGAAGAGGAAGCAGCTGGAGGGAGTGGGAAGGGGACATGAGAGGTGATAGAAGGGCTGATAATAATGAAAATAGCATATGCACAATTATAGAAACATCACAGTGAAACCTATTATTATGTATCATTAATGTGCCATCATTAAAATATTGATTAATTTTTATTTTACTGTGTATAATTATTTTACTTATATCTATGTGTGTATGTGACATGTGTACATGGCACTTACAAAGTCCAGAAGAGGGCATCAGACACCTGGAACTGCAGTTATAGATGGTTGTAAGAACTGAGAATTGAACCCAGATTCTCTCCAAGAGTAGCAAGTTCTTTTAACTGCTGAGCCATCTCTCTAGCACTCTAATAAGTTTCTTAAAAAGAATATAAATGCTTGAATATAATTAAATACAGGGAAGGTCTTACAGCAAACTTCTCAATACAGTTAAATGTTTTAGAATCAAAAAGAAAAACACATTGTTTTAATAATGTGGATTGTAATAGCCAGTTATGACATCATTGTAGTAATGTACCACTGAATCTTGGTGACAGGGAGTCACAGGTCCTTCTATCATAGATGTCAGGTAATATAGCAATAATGAATGAAACTGGTAAATGTAAGGTATATGCTGGGTAGTTTTGTGTCAACTTGACTTAAGCTAAAGTCTTCTGAGAGTAGAGAACCTCAATTTTAAAAACGCCTCCATCAAATCAGGCTGTAGGCAAGATTGTAGGACATTTTCTTAATTACCGGTCAATGGCAGTGGTCCCACTATAGTTTTCTATAAGAAAGCAAGCTGAGCAAGCCATGAGGAACAATCCAGTAAGCAGCACCCATCCATGCACGGCCTCTACTCCAGCTCCTGCCTCCAGATTCCTGTCTGCCCAGTTTGAGTCCTGTCCTGACTTCCTTCAACTGATGTACAGTGATTTAGAAATGGAAGTCAAATAAACCCTTTCTTCCCCAAGTTTCATTGGTCATGATGTTTCTACACAACAATAGTAACCCTCAAGAAGACAAGTTCATATCAAGATAGTGTGATATTCCTGTGACTGCTTACCATGGGATTTGGGAAGGCTTGTAGAAGAACTTTGGAAATATGGGCTGGAAAATCATCAAGTGTTGAGAGGTCACTGGGCCATTCTTTGGGAGCTGGCAGCTAAGAGTGTTGAGAGCAGCGCAGACAACGGGGGCCTGGCTTGTGACGTTAGAATAATGGTTCTGGGTATTGGGGGCTGAAGTATCAGCTGTTATTCACAAGGTACCAGAACTACAAAAGTGAAACCTTTGCTTTGTTGGGATACTCAATGCTGACTAGCTGGAGTTGAGAAATTAGCAGTGATTCAAAAAAAAAAAAACCCAGCATTTTAGAGGAGAGGTCTTCTGGAAAGTGTTTCCTGAGAGTCAGCACACACAGGCTGTGTTCCAGACATGGTCAAGATTGTGCCTTGTGCTGGCAGCCAAACTTGATAGTGTATAAGAATCACCCAGGTGGTGCTAGTTCTGAAGGTATAAAGGTGTCATGGGTGCTAGGCACTGTGTAGTAGGACTGGACTCCATGGAGAGAGCCCAAGATAGACTACTAGTGTAAGCACAGTTGCAGCAGAAGACCCCAGCATTTTGAAGGTACCATGGGATGACGCCCAAAAACAGCAGCAGCAGTGGAGTGAAGCCAGACAGAGCTGAGAAGACCAGCTGTGTGTGCCACAGAGGGCGAGCTGCAGAAGTAACTCGAGAGTTGATGGTGTGCAACACATAGTTCAGTCATGGACCTGTGTCCAGGTGCTCACTGGGGACTCTACCACTGGGCCTGTTCTTAAAAAGAGTTTCTGGTGAAGCCAGACTCCTAAAAAAGGGATTAAGAGCAAAGTCTAAGGAACTGCAGAATGTAAGAGTTTGGAGCAAAAGGGAAGGATCTGGAAAGTTTCAGCTGAGCAACCTGAGACACAAAAGCAGATGTCCTCCCCCAAACCAGCAGAGCTGTAAGTTTAGTAAGTGTTCCATTGTTGTGTAGAGACAACATAACCATGGCAACTATTATAAAGGAAAGGTTTGATTGGGCCTTGTTTACAGGTCCAGAGGTTTAGTCCATTGTCATCAAAGCATGCAGCAGACGTGGTGCTGGAGAAGGACCTGAGAGTTCTACATCAGGACCCACAGGCACAGGATGAGAGAGAAACACAGGACCTGGCTTGGCTTTTGGAATATGAAAGTCCTCTCCAGTGCCATACTTCCTCGAACAAGACCACACCTACCCCAATATAGATATACCTCCTATTCCTTCTAAGTAGTGCTACTCCCTGATCACTTGGAATTCAAGTACACCAGGGTCCTTGTTCAAACCCCCATGTAGTCTAACTCTTCACATTCCCTCCTGTGCTCTGCACATCCACTCCAGACTGCAGGTCTGATCAGTGACTGGATTTGTAAAGTTCGTCCTTCCCTACATTTCTACAGAGCATCTTTTACAGAGCCAGCATCCACACACCCAGGATGACAACAGCTGTTACAGATAAAGCCTGCCACACTAGTCCACTCTGTTTGCTGATATCAAACCAAGACGTGATCACACAAACCAATTGGATCTTATGAAAACTGATGTTGTACTAGAGACTTTACCTGTGTAGATGAATGTCCACACACACACACACACACACACACACACACACACACGAAGGAGAACCTATGACAGAGCATAGTACCAACACCATGAAGGGCCATCCTGTGGGACAACCGGGTTTTCTTTGGGGTTGCTAACAGGGGTGTGGTGAGGAGTTACTTACAGGAGCTGGAATGGATTCACAGCAGCTGCATCCCTGCAGAGCCCACCTCAGCTCAGGCTGTGACTCAGGGGACAGCACAGCTGAAACTGCACAGCTTGCAGGCCTAGGGACAGGTCTGGAGTCTTCTCTGAAGCTGGTCAGGGTCTCCTCCTTCTACAACCTGGGTGAGTCTTATAAACTTAAGAGTTTCACTTTCTCAATGATAGGAAATTGCTTATTTCCTGTTCTAAGGAGCCTCTCCCATCCTCTGAAGAGAGTATTTCCATAGGAGGAAAGACTAAAACCCACAAGTGACCTTTCCAACAAGCAGAAGAATTTGTCACACAGACAGATTAAAGATTAAAAGAAGCACAAGTCTCAACTCTGCAGAGGACCCACAGTATTGATTTCCAGTCCCTTCTTTGATTATAATAAGTGAGATCTTCCTTTGGGTTCAAAGTAACAAAAGCAAACAGCTTGTCTGTACTTTAGGATGTCTTCTGTTTCCCTAGGAAGGCCTTCTCCAGGAAAAACCACTTTACAGCTAATGTTTCTGTCTTCAACCAATGAAAAAAGCAGAAAGTAGAGCCACAGTGTCTCCACAAATATTAATTTCTATCATCTCTGGTATCACTCAGAAGTCATGTGGTTCTCCAGAGGAACCTGGGAGCTTCAGACATTCAAATCTGAGAACAAATCTAGTACTGTTACCTGATGTAAGAGCACACTACACATGGCACTCTGCTCTAGACCAGTGCTTCTCAATCTTCCTGATTCTGTAACCATGTGATACAGTCCCTCATGTTGTGATGACCCTGACAACCAGAAAATTAGTTTCATTGCTAATTTATAACTATAATTTTCCTAATATTATGAATTATAAATTAAAAATGTGAAATGCATGATAACTCATGTGTTATCCCCAATGGGGTCATGAACCAAAGGTTAAGAATCAGTGTGTCTGTGCAGAAGGTTAATGTCTGACTACAATGTAAGTTATATTGTATAACAAATTGATTTTTTAAGGCATACAGCCTCCCACTCAAGTCTTAACACAACAGACACTTCCTTCAGAGTAATTTGTAAATGAAGGTGCCTTGTTTAGGAAGGGTTTTGGGGGCTTTGGTGTCCAGTTGCTGGCCATAACTACCATGAGGTATAACAAGAGAAGTCAGACTGTCCCGTAGTCAGACTGATGACTATCTTGAATATCACCATAGAACTTTCTTACGATGACAGATGGAGACAGATCAGACCGACATCGGAGCACTGGACTGAGCCCCCAAGGTCCAGCTGAAGAGCTGAAAGAGGGAGAATGTGAGCAAGGAAGTCATGACCACAAGGGGTTGGTCCACCACTGAGACTGTGTGCCTGAGCTAATGGAGCTCACCAACCCCAGCTGGACCGGGAATGAACGAGCATGGGATCAAACTGGACCCTCTGAATGTGGTTGACAATTGGGGCAGACTGAGGGGCCAATGATAACGGCACTGGGATTTGTCTCTACTGCATATACTGGCTTTTTGGAATCCTATTCTCTTTGGATGCATACCTTCCTAAGCCTGGATGTAAGAGGGAGAGCCTTGGATTTCCCATAGGACAGGGTGCCTTGCCCTGTCTTAGGACTAGAGGGTGGGGGGGGGGGGCTGTGTGAGGAAGCGGGAGGGAAGTGGGAGAAGAGGAGGAAGTGGGAATTTTGATTGTTATTATTTATAAACTAATAAAAAATGTTTTTTAAAAAGAAAAGTTCCAAATAGTCAATTTACTTTTCATCAGTTTTATTTATTTTCTTGAGGGTATATGAGTGTTTTGCTCACCTGTATGTATGCGCACAATTGTGTAGATGATTGATAGCCACCACGTGGTGGCTAGAAATTGAACTCTGGAGCCTGTTCTGTGAGAAAAAAATGTTCTTAAATACTGAGCCATTTCTCCAGCTGCATCCAAAGTATTTTGAGAATGAAATAGCAGCGTGCAGCGTATTCTTTATTTCAATTATACCCAAAACGATAGTAATCAAAACAGTATATGAAAACTAGCCAACAATGGAATAGAACAGGAAGCCCACAAATAAACCTGCACAAAGATCTTCAACAAAGACGTTAAGATTAAATGGTGGGTGGGATGTGGAGGGAAGGAAAATCTATTCAATAAACAATCCTGGGGAAACTGGGAAGCAGCATGGGAAAGGCTAAACCTGAACTTCACAGCACACATCATACAAAAGCATCCTTAAAATGGACTGAAAATTTAAGTCTAGAATCTAACATTGTGAAACTGTTGTAAACACTCTAAGGAAACATTTTGATATTTATCTTTTTAGAGACATTTGAAACTGTGGTAGTTTGAATGTAATTGGCTCCCTAATTCCAAATCCTATTACCACAGAATCTCATAGGAAGTGTGGCTTTGTTGGAGTGGGTATGGCCTTGTTCGAGGAAGTGTGTAACGGTGAAGGCAAGCTTTGAGGTTTCATATACTCAGGATTCCTCCCAGTGTGTCAGTGGACTGCCTGTTGCCTGCAACACGTAGCCAGCACCATTCCAGCCTGCAGGCTACCATGCTTTCCGCCATGATAGACTGAACCTCTCAACTTTAAGAGAGCCACCACAATTAAAGGTTTCCTTCATAAGAGTTGCCATGGTCATGGTGTCTCTTCACAGCAATAGGAAATCCTAAGACAGAAACTTAATACAAAATGTACAGATAACAACAGCAAAAGTGAAAATATCAAACTAGACAGGTATAGGCAAAAGGGGAAAAATACCAATAACGGGTCAGGCATAGTGGTTCACATATTTAATCTCATAACTCAGAAGGCAGAGGCAGACAGACCTCCACGAGATTGAGGCTAGCCTGGTTTCTATAGAGAGTTACAGACAAGCCAGAGTAACATAGTGAAACTTTGTCTCAACAAACAAACAAGCAAACAAACAAAGAAATGGTGACTAGGCATCCCACATACATCTCCAAAGCATACCTTGTGCTTTAGAACCAAAGTGTTCTCAAAGAGAGGATGGGGGGAGAACTGAGGTTGGAATCCAATGCAGAGGTGTGCGAATGGGAGCAAGGCTAAGAGTGAAGACAGGGTGAGCCACACCAGAGGTGGCAAGAGCATTGTGGGAACTAAGCTGGTTTTGGGGTAGAGAAGAAAAATCTAAGGCAGTGGGGGTGTGGTGGAGCTGAGTTTTGAGAGGGAGGAGAGAGTTAACAGGGTGAGGCCCACAAAGGTAGATGGGGGATCAAGACAGGAATAATTGTGTGATAAGGATTAGGACAGGACCATACCATCCCAAGGTCAAGAAGGATTGAGAATGGGTTGGGAGAGAATAAGGCATTGGGGGTTAGGGATTGGAGGGCAAGATAAAGGGGTAAAAAAGGGGAGCAGCCAGTGAGAGGTTGAGGGCTGACAGCAGAGCAGAGAGGGACCTAAAGCTGGGCTAAAAAAGAAAGGAAGGAACTGGGTGGGGCTCTGTACAGTAGGGGTAGGACAGGACAGAGTGGGGGGAGAGGGGAGACAGTGGAAAGTGAGACCAGCCAAGCTTGGAGACATGGGACAGTGACTGGAGGATGTTAAGAAACCCCTCAAACAGTCCCTGATACTTGCTTTATGGCTGCAGGCAAGAGAGTGTTACACAACCCTAAATAACTGCTTTATTTATTCCTTGCCTTTCTGCCCTGCTTCAGCTGCCTAGCATCTCTGAGGCTGCATCCAGTTTGTGTGGGGAAGGGATGGCATAGAGTGGGAGGCCTGGGGACACCAGAACCAGGGAGTCTAGGCTGCTCAGCTTCTGCCTGAGTGCCATGGCCTCTGTCAGACAAAGGACCTGAGCCTCCTAGAGACTCTCCTGGAAGCTGATGTAACCACAAAACCTCTAAGAAATAAGTGAAGAGGTGTGACAAACAAACCACAAACTTCCTGAGGTCACAGCCCTGATTCTGAAATTTTCCTGAATGTCATCAGCAGGAAGCTGGCGTCTATTACAGTGCCCTTCACATCTGAGGCTGGGTTTAGAGAAGGGAACCCATGGCCTAGGCCACAGTGACCAAGCTCATTAATTGCATCCTGCCTCTGTGCTCACTCTGCCAGCCCATGAGTTTGGAGGAATTCAACAACAGAACTTGTGGGGACAGAGGACTACAGCATCGGAGAGGAAGGGTGCTCCTAGATGATCCTGGGCCTCCATCCCCATCCTCCCATCCCCTCAGACTCCTTCTGGATGACTGTACAGACCAGACCCTGGGGTTTGCTCTCTAGCTCACCCCATAGTCTTTTCCTCAGAGGCTTTCAGAAAAGCTGAGACGTCTCAGAAAAACTACTACATAGAAAGGGGAGACAGGGCCAGAGGAACTGGAAGTTCACTGTGGTTCACCAGAAGCCACTGACTCTCTAAAACCACAGCTGCTCTCAGGGGTATGAATCACACCACCCCAGTTCTCTCTTCATTTCTTTATTTATCTCCTCCTCCTCCTCATTTTTTTCTCACTGTATAAGCCAGGTTGCCAGCTTGCACCACTTCCCTCCATCAGCCTTCTGAGAGCTGAGGGCAGAGGTCACCACACACAGCTTCACTGACTGCTTCATATACTGAACCAGCATCCAGTTCACCATTTTTATATCATCCCCTTCCCCACCCTCTCACACAGGAAGGTGCTTTATCACCTTCTCAATCAGCTGGCACTGCATGCCCCTGCCTGAGGACCGACCCAAGAAATCCATGCACTCTCACCCATAGAACCTAAAATAGGGATAAGGGGCAAAGTTTAAGTCACATATGACCTGGCAATGGTGCTAAGTAGAGGGCATAAGGAAACCTCTGCCTCCCAACCCCCCCGCCCCCCCGCCGGCTAACTCCTGGGCAAACAATAGCAGATAATAGGGTTCATTTCAGCAGGCATTTCATTGCTTTTATTTACAGAGCACATAATAATATTGACAACTCAAACACTCTATTCCAACTTCAGTGTGAAAGTAGCACACGAGATTGGGGGGCAACAGGAGATCACATTTGGCCTCTGTACTCACCTGACCCCAGATCAGGTAGCATCCTGTATCCCAGTATTGATACCCATTCCCCTGAGCACTCTCTGCAAGTGATGCCAAAGCTGTGTGCTAAACAACCAGGAATGGTCCTGTGCTGCTGTGCCTCCTGGGTCAGCTGGAGAGGATATGGGAGTT